TGAGCTTTTTCGCGCAATCAACAAATCATGACCTCACAGCTGCCCTGCCCACCCTGCTTGCTCATGCAGCTTGACTCGCTGTCGGCCAATTAGAGGCTGCGAGGCAGAGACAAGCTCCCGCTGGGGGCGCATACGCGATTCCGCGAGGAGCCGGACGGAGGTGGGGCGGCAGCCGGTTGCTGATCGGCGATGTGGTTGAAGTGACGCCTGGATGTGGCTGGCGCTTTTGACGGTGCGCAGCACGCTCTGTTCTTCCTCTACAGTGTTCATCGGAGTGTTGCCAGGATCGTGAGTACTGTAAACAGGATGGGTTGAAGCATCCTGAAAGCGCTGCGGGAGTCGGCGGGAGAGCAAGAGAACACCATGGGTGAGGGGTGTTGAGGCCTCCTCAACCTCGTGCGAGATGGAGCCAGCGCTCGGATCTTTCGGCAAGGCTGTAGCCATGGCCGTTGTTCCGCGGACTTTGCTCCGCTTCCAGTAGTGCGCCTAAGTCCTTTGTCACGCGATGCGGAGCCCTATTCTGGTATCACGCTGGGCTCTCGAATCATGGTGCTGTGTAGAGAGATGCAGATGTTGGGATGGTTGCCGTTGGTGTGTCACGAGAGGGCGAGGTGGAGTCTACCAGGTATGTATAGGTGCGGTGCCGAATGCCGATGCAGGTCATCGGCGATGGTCCAGGGATACTTCTTAAGGTGTCGCAGGTAGAGTCGGATGTTGAAGATGGAATCCAGCTTTGAGTAACTCATCATTAGATTGCGATGCTTATATCTTCACAGGGCCTTTCACGCTTATGTCACCACCAATACAGGCGCGCGTTAAGTGAATGTAGATGCTCTATGGATCTTTAGAAAAAGTTATAAATTGACAACCTTGCTCCATCAAAATAAGAAAATGTGTTTCCGTTCTCCCCGAAGCGTCCATTTATCGGCCTAAGCAAAGTTGTATACGGGAATACCGTACTGTCTTGTCTTAGCTTGAGGTAAAAGAGGCCGGAAGTACAGAGACTTACGTTTAGCGGGTTATTGAACCTGAATCCTCTATCCAAGCCACTGATCTGCTTGATCTCCTCCTCACTCAAATCAAAGCTCGTCACATCTAAATTCTCCAACAACCGATCCTGTGTGTTGCTCTTCGGAATCACTGCAATCCCCCTTTGCGTGCTCCACCTCAACAGCACCTGCGCTGCCGTCTTCCGATGCCGATTTGCAATCTTAGTAATGACGGGGTGGTCAAACAGTAGCTCAATTGACTGCGCGAGCTCCATATCACAGTCGCGGAAGGACTGCGGACCAAATGACGAATACCCCGTCACCGCAATCCCGTGGCTCTTGCAGAGGTCCAGGAGGGACTGCTGTAATAGGTACGGGTGATGCTCAACCTGCACAACAGCCGGCTTGATTTTCGCATACGTGAAAAGATCGAGTAGAAGTGCGCCGGTGTAGTTGCTCACGCCAATGTTCTTCGCCAGGCCTGCCGGAATGAGTGCCTCCATGGCTTGCCACGTGCTCTGCAGGCTCGCCTTGCCGTGCTCGACTTTGGTGCCTGCGTCGTCGAAGAACCAGCCCGGCGGGTACCGTACGCTAGGGTCCACATACTTCAGCGAAACCGGGAAGTGGATGTAGTAGAGGTCGAAGTAACCAACGCCCCAGTCGGCGAGTTGCTTGCGGACGATGGGTTCGACCTGCTCTGGGTCGTGGAAGGAGTTCCAGAGCTTGCTGATGATAAAAAGTTCCTCACGCTTGACGAGGCCGTCTTTGATGGCGCGGGTGACGCCTTCGCCGCCTTCTTTCTCATTGCCGTAGTCTATGGTATGTTTAGTATGGTACAGCGCATTGAGTATAGATGTAAATAGGTGAGAGATTTTGTCACTCACCACACGCGCCGTCGAATAGCCTGTATCCATCCTTTATAGCTCGGTATACCACGTCCGCGCACGTATCGTTGTCCATCTTCCACATGCCCAACCCTACTTGTGGCATTTCGACGCCATTTGCCAGCTTGATCTTTGGAGTCTGAACATCTGTCGCCATGTTTTCATTTGTATGTCAGAATAGTATTCGATTAATAGTAAGTCTTAGAAGCTAAGTCTATTAAGAGTAAATGATGATGAAATGAAGAAATGTGAGGACTGTCAGATTCTTATAACGCGTCGTGGACCGCGCTATGGCAAGATACGGCCATGGCCCGACCCCGTCGAAAGGCGGTTTCCCGGATCTTTTGTATTTAACATCTCGTGTTGATTAGTCCCAGTGACCTGACTACCCGGTTGGCATCTATTGGTCAGTGGAGTGCCGCATCGGCGTGACTACGGATGAAGAGTTTTAGATGGGAAGGATAGATATGCGGAGAGATCCTCAAGTTGGAGGTGCTTCTCCATGATACCGTTGATCGGTCATCGCTCAACCGTAGACCAGTTATTCCGCTTTGTTTCGACCCTGGAACTTGTCCATGGAAACTTCTCGTGATTAAGTTCGATTCTTCATCTACATTTTTCTGAAGAGTAGCAGGTGATGCCCCACTACCCCGCCACGAGAAGTTCTTTGCCGGCTAAATAGACTGATGGCGCCGGTTAAAGTCGACTCAGAACCTTTGCCATAGATATTGGATTGGACATTCTTGGGCCGTGGAGCTTCCTTACAGATCAAGAAGCTTGGCGGCATATCGAGACAGATGTGTACGCCTCTCCGTGTGCGTACGTAGGTCTTACAATTGATCTGTACACGACAACGAGGACGCGTTTGTTGTGCAGAGGTGTTTGCTCCAGCGATGTAATAGTTCTACTCGAATGATATGTGCGAACTTTTGATCCACTAGTTCTAAGGGCCGGGCCGGGACATCACGGTACTGCTTAAACGCGAAGAAGATTCATATACAGAATCAATGTTAAAAAGGCTCGACGCCACTAGAAGGACCGAAGTCTCTAGCTCAAAAAGTGAACTAGGGAGCTTCGGCGATGACGTAACGTGTTTCACATCGCTCTTTCCAAGCTTCCAAGCTTTCCTCACGAGACTCCAGCCTTCTCAGCCGCATCAACAACACAACTCTCCATTCCCTCCTCAATCATCAACTCCTACAATCCAAACCACCTATCTTCCATTCTGAAAAACCCCACCTCAACCATGTCTCCCCCCTCACAACCCGCGCAAGCGCATCTCGCCGAAGCCACTGCCAGCCGTGAGATCGAGACTTCCCAACCCCAGACTCACCAGCCCATGCAAATGAGTACGCCATCCCCTCAAGTTGCTCAATACTTCTTCCACTAACCTCACCAGTGCAACAAGATCCTCAAAGCGAGCAAAAGACCGTCGGAATGCGCGGCGGCGACGGACGCGGCGGAGCGTGCCCTGGACGCTTCTGCTTCTGCGTCCCGTGCCCGCTACCTTGCGATTTCTGTATTATTTGAGCGGATTCGATGCAGATTTGCTGCACGATGGCGGGTCAGGAGAGCGACTTGGCGGTATTGGCGTTTTTGAGCTTTGCGGATTCGATTCTATACATCAATAGCGATCCACAGGAGTCTGGTACCAGGATCTTGGAAGCAGGTCAATGGGCTCTATGAAACAGCCGACTGATCATCTACTTTATCCCAAGCCGTACCAGCACTTCCGTGATGAAAATCTGATGTTTACGTCTCTTTCATGCTATCTGGATTGCGTCGTCAGCATTTCCGGTCCGTCTCCGGCCCCACTCTCCACGTCTTCTACCTGAGAAACGCACACGCTCCCAATTTGCAACCCTATTCCAGCAGCCTTCTTTTCGCCCTCATCATCTTTGGTGCACCTTCACGGCCTATAAAAGCACAAAACCCCAATCGCATGAAGCAGATTAGACCATTCAAGCTTGACATATTCGTCGGGACACTCCCAGCTCGCTCTTAACCTCTCATTCCGGTCTAACCATAATTACCGTTTCTTTGTCGTCATGTATCAAGTTCTTCAAATGCAATGGCGCTTGCGATGCAAGAGATTTGCGGGCGGTATCCCCAATCTATGTTAGATTGTTATACGGATGATACTTCTTACTTCGAGATTAAAGAAAAATAGCGCCGTGATGATCAGACCGGATATTAGTGCCGGAAAGGCAAAGCTACAGGGCACCTTCAAAACTTGACGAAGCACGAATGCCTTGCTCACCTTAAGCGCTTCCTTCTGCAATCAGGTGAGGTCACGTATGTGTGGAAAATCAATGAAGATGATGGAGGAGGCAAAGGGTAACAAAACACGCCTCAATAGCTATAACGATCAATTATAGAAACGCAACAAACGAGAAACTCCTTTGCATCTATATCTAGTAAGAACTCCAATCTCGTACTTCTCGCAACTCCCTCTCATCCTATCATCACTTCCCCTCTTTCCTCTCCAACTCCAAGACCTTCTTCGCCAAGTCCCCAAACGTTTCCTCCGCGCTTCTAAACGTCAGCCCCAAAACCTCATTCCCCTCCTTGGCGCCAATCCGCGCAAGCGAGAGACCAGTGTCCTTCCCAGTATCCTTTGGCAGCCGTCCCTTCAATTGCTCTAGCAATTCGCCCTTCTCGACTAACCCTCTCAATGTGTTCACGATCAGGGTGGATGTGAGCTCTGCTCCGCCGACAAGGAATCGCTTGTTGGCCGCTCCGGGGGTGGTCAGGCCGCGCACGTGGGCAGTAGCGAGGTCGCGCGCATCGATGCAGGAGGGAAACAGGCCCGCTGCGTGCGTCTGCGGAAGCTCGGCGTAGGTGCCGTTGAAGAAGTTGTAGACGACGCCGACGGAGAAGTTGAGGTGCTTGAGGTCTGGCAGCGCTTGCAGGGGTGGGCCGAAGATGAGGGGTGGGAGGAGGACGGTGACCTGTTCACAGTGTTAGGTCTTATTTGATTTTATCGTGGTAAGTGAGTAGGCTCCATAGTTATCGCCTCCGAGGAGCCCTCATAGTGTGATTAAGCACTTTTTGACCGAGGACAATAGGAGCGACTAAGTCCCACAAAGCGCTACTGTATCTGCAAGCACCTGTTTGCTCCTGGGGGTGGGAGTATGAAATATGGTTGGTAAGACGCAGATTACTTGCACTGAAGTTCGGCTTCTCCTTCTCCACAAACTCCCACACGGCTAGCTCCGCTTCCTTCTTGCTGGACTGGTACATCACGTACCCCGATCCATCCTTGCGGGCAAACTCAGGTGTAACCGGGTTCCAGGAGTCGTTCTTGTACTCTCTCGACTGATTCGCTGCTGGAGACCCATCCGTGAGCGAATTGATACTCCCAGTAATCGCAACCGACTTGAGGGTCGGGGCATGCGCCTTGGCCCCCTTCAACAACACTAGATTGCCGTCAACGCCAGGACGCAAGAAGTCCCTGTCGAAGTCGGTCTGGTTTTCGCCGAACATAGGAGCAGCAACGTGGACGATGTGGTCGTAGTCTTTAGCCTGGAAAATGGCGTCGAAGGCGCCTTCTTTGGCGTAGTCCTCGACGACGACGAAGTCGAGCTTGCCCTTCCATTCGGGCTGCTCGGCTAGCAGAGCGTCGCCGGCGGAGGTGCGGCGGAGGCTGCCGGTGACGGTGTGGCCTTGAGCGATGAGTTCGTTGATGATGTGGACAGCGACGAAGGAGTTTGCGCCTGTGACGAGTGTGTGCGGCATTGCAGATGGAGATTTATTGATGTTGAGAATTGAAGATTGATCAAGACACTGGAAAGGGTTGTTTTGCTGGATAGGCAGGGGGATGATGGAATGTGAATAGAACAATGAATGGATCACTTTACCTTCACATACCTACCATTTATACACTATCGCAACGCCCCCTACGATAAAACTCCATCGTGTAGAAATCCAGTCCGCACGCTGCATCACACAATCAGAGGGCAAAGAATTGTAAGGTAAGTGATACCTTGGTAATCAACATCTCCATTAACGTACCCTGCGGGTGAGCTGCCCATGCGGGCGAGCTGCCCAGTCCGTGCACCACTAGAAATTCAATAATCTAACCTTAAATAACTCTACAACTACCTAATAAAAAGTTATACAAATATAATATATTATTCTTATATATATAAATACTTAGTATATAGAATATAAAGTCTATTTTTATAGTAGTTAACTAATTATTAAATTTAGACCCCTATTTTAGACCTTACCCTTTATTACTAGCTAACTACTATATTATTATTATTATTAAATTCTATTACGCTGGTGTAGCTCCCGTTAGGGTCCATGCAGCTGTTCTATCTAGGCTAGTTTACAAGGAGAAACCGTTTGCTGCCATGCAGCGTTCGGATGAAAACACCGTCCTCTGCGGTGTATAGCGCTGAGCGCTCTTCTCGTTGTTGTATAGCTATTGGGGACACGTGGTAGATCTATCAAGTCCACCACGGAATAAGCCATCGTGATGCGTCTTCCTAAATCTGTCCGGGTTTTGCAGTCGTCCTCCTAGGCGCGGGTCGAGTTGATTCCGGAGTAGTGAGCTGGTTTAGGATTAGCGTGAGGGCACGCGTGCTGTCGTTTCGCACGCGTGCCCTTCGTCAAGGCGTTGGTCCTTGAATTGAATGATGTATGTGGGGGTAGTGCTGTATAGGCTGCGATATATGTGGGGGCTGCGGTATACGGGTGGATACAGCTGTTGGGTGGGTGCGTGATATAGGCGGCGTAGTATGCGTAGTATGCGTAGTATGCATAGTATGCATAGTATGCGTAGTATGCGTAGTGTGTGTAGTATGCGCAGTATGCGTAGTATGCGTAGTATGCGTAGTATGCGTAGTATGCGTAGTATGCGTAGTATGCGTAGTGTGTGTAGTATGCGCAGTATGCGTGGTATGCGTAGTATGCGTAGTATGCATAGTTATGTAAAGTTGTAGGAGGTGGAATGCCTACGTCTCCGCCTCTGCCATCTCTCTGGCCACCGAGAGGTATGGCAGGAGGTCCGTCCTTTGGAGGAGCCATTGGGCCACGGCCTTTCTTCCTTTCTGGCTTCTGTAGAGCTGTTCATACGTCCTCGTCTTGGCCTTCTGGAACAGCTCGCCCCTGCCCTCAACGTGTCTTCCGCAACTCATCACAATGTGTCTTGGGGATTGGAGGCTATGCCCGCAAGGGCATGCCGGCGTCGGGTGGCCGGGCACTCTTATACGGTGGAGGTAACTGTTAAGCCCTATATGCTCCGTCCGTAGGTTTGTAATAATTATGCTCTCTACCTTCGTAAGTTCTTTATATAGTGCCTTTTATTATTTGCTCTATTTAGTATTAAGTGCTGGTATTAGGGGTTTTTAGTATAGTTCTTTACAGTAGGCTTTCTATTCCTTCTTCCACTTCTCTTTATATTTATCCTAGATTATACCACGCCTTATACGCCTATAGAATTCTTCCGATTTACCTTTATATTATGCGGCTAGCCGTAATATCTTTACTGCAAGCTTATAGAGTTTATTACACCTGCTTAGGCTATACTATAGTGTTTCTTTTAGCCTATATTTAGTATAAACTGTTTTTTTTATACAGCTATATTAGGTTTTAATATACTTACAGGCTGGCCCCTTATATATACGGTCCGCGTAGGCTACTATAAGTTTTTCTAGCTTTAGCCGGAGTAGAAAGCATAATATTTTATACTCTATTACCCTAATATTTATTGTTTTATATACCCCTAAAATAGTATAAAAGCACTAGTTCTATACTATTTTAAGCTGCTTAATTTTTATTTTACTAATCTGCTTTTTTATACCCGGTATAGTATACTAGAAGGTGTATTTATATATAATAGTAGGCCTAATAACTACTAAATATATTATATATACCTTTTAAAAGCTTATTATAACGGGTTGTTTTTTCTATACCTTCTAAGTATTATATACTAAGGCAGGGTATAGGTTAAGTTATTATTAGGGTGTAATAGTTTTTAAAAGGTAAGGTAATAATTAATTAGAATATAAAACGGGGTTATTACTTTTAATAGGTAGTATTAAAGTTTTAAGTTAAATATAAAGTTTCTATCTATATAAAAAAAGCGTTTTTATATATAAAAGTCCGTTCTAAGAAATCTATTTACTTATTCTACTTTTAGAGCTTATAGCCCTTAAGCGCCTTAAGCCTAATAAGCGCTCGCTTGGCTCTATATTTACTTTTTTCTGCGAGCTTAATAAGCTATTATATAACCCTGTCCTTATAATATCCTATTTTTAGATCGTTTCTATCTACTAGTAGTTTATAAGGAAATCTAGGATTTCTATATATTTTATATATAACCTTTTTAGTTCTATAACCTAGTTCTATATAATTAGTTTTATCTACTTACTTATTTCTATAAGTACCTCTGCGCTTAGGTGGTTTATATTACGGGTTATAATACTTATACTTTAGGTTAATACTATAAGCCTTATAAAGGCCTTTATCTAGGCTATAGCTTTATTTTTTATAGTATTAATATACGGGCCCTATTTAAGTTTAGAATTTACCTAAACTTTTAGTATTTTTAGGTTTATTATAAGGCCTTTAGTAAAGCTCTATATATTAACTATAGCTTTTATATTAATAAACTTACGGGCTTTTATAAAGTATATTAGGTGGTATTTATCTAGTATAAAAACTACTCTATACTTTCTTACCTACTTTATATACTAGTTATACGCCTGTGTAACGGGTCGTCTCTTCTATACCTTCCAAGTGTCTCACACTAAGGCAGGGTATAGGCAAGTCGTCGTCGGGGTGCAATAGTCTTCAAAAGGTGAGGCAATAATCAATCAAGGTTCTAAGACGGGGTTGTTACTTCCAATAGGTAGTATTGAAGTCTTAAGTTGAACACAAGGTTCCTATCTATGCAAAGGAGCGTCCTCTTATATGAAAGCTCCGTCCTAAGAAAACCTCTTGCTCATATGGCTCTACGGGCTCATAGTCCTCGAGCGTCTCGAGCTCGACGAGCGCTCGCATGGCTCTATGCTTACTTCCCGTTG